CCAGGAGGTCTCCCATCCGGGTACTGACCAGGCTCACACCTGCTTAGCTTCAGTGGGTTGCCAGTTGTGAGTTGCAGGGTGATATGGCTGCTGACGCCCCAGTATAGTGATTGTGACACTTTACTGTAAAAAGGCGCCATCCTTCAGCTGAGAAATAACCGAGGTGCTGATCTTCTGCTGTGATTAAAAATCCCTGGGCCTTTCTTGCAAAGAGAAGGGGTGTTACCCCAGTGTTCTGGCCCAGTGTCCTAATCCCCCTCTCTGAACTGGTGTCATCACTCTGTTCTCCTCCCCACTGAGAGCTGGTGTGTGGGGAGAGTACTGGTGCATCATCCAGGTGGGACTGCACATTGGTGGTGGTGGAGGGGAGTCCCCATTACCTGTAAAGCACTTTGAGTGGGGTATCCAGAAAAGCGCTCAATGAGTGTAAGGAATTAATTATTATTATTAATCCATCTGTTTCCTAACCACTTTATCCAATTCAGGGCCACAGGGGAGCCGGAGTCTATACTGGCAAAGCAACGGGAGTAAGGCAGGGTACGCCCTGGATAGGACGCCAGTCTATCACAGGGCACACACAGACTCAAACACACGAACCGGGGCCAATTTCCCCAGAAGCCAATTAACCTACAAGTATGTATTTGGACTGTGGGAGGGAGTCAGAGCACCAACTTATTACACAAAGACAAAGAGATCGGTGCCGTTTAGTACACAAACAAATAAGTTTCTTGACCAAGTGAGTTTTATAAAAACCCAAGGCTTAGAATGACACAGGCCGAGCTGATTGACTCTGAAATATTAAAGATCACCTGCAGAATTCCATGCTGATAAACAAGCATTTTATTTATCAGTCTCTAACAACCACACACCGATTCTGGATTAAATCTCAGTTGTGCAGTCCTACAACTGAATAGTGATGAGAGGTAGCAGCAGAAAGAGCAAGCCTCCTTCCCCGATGACGTTGTCTCAAGTGACCAACTATGATCTGCTGCCCATTTCCAGGATGGTCAACTCCTGTCTGGCTGAGGAGCTGAAGGAGATCCATGCCTTTGAGCAGAAGACGCTGACGCGGGAGCAGTGGGAGAAGCAGAATGCTCAGTAGTGGAAGACCGAGCCTCAGACCAGCCCGACATTGCAGTGCAATGCTTTTCCTCGCCTGGAGGGGGCGCTGTGCTTAAGCGCTCAGTCAGAGTGAACAATCACAGGTCCACTCCAGCCCCTCGTATCTTTGCTGTGTTTTTGCCCCATCAGCTTGGACTAGATTCTGGGTGTGTATGTGTTGGAGGTCGTAATGGGGAGATGTAACACATTTTTGCCAACATGGTAAAAGTTATTTCTGTTTCTAGCCTCTGTCTTCCTTTGAGTTTGGACCACGTCTGCAGTGTGCCCCTCACAATACTAACAGAGGAGTAATCAGCACTTTGTAATGTCTTGAGTTCGAGAGTGAGAAAAGAAAAAGGTAGAGTCCAGGTGTATGCAGACCTGATCCTGGGGGGATAACCCAAAGAATGGGTTTCATTAGTTCCTGGATTATTCAAATAGGGGTGTCAGTGGCTTGAGCACACCAGTACCCTGGGGCAGAGCACAGCATGAAGCTACATGTCCTACTCTGGTGTCTTCGCCTATCTAAAGTGAAGGGGGGTGGGGGTGGGAGAGAGAATTAGGCTTCTGCTTTTCATGGGGGAAGCATGCTTTTAATTGCACAGAGTGTGAACTTATTCCCAATTAGCATTCATCTTTGCCTGGATGATTCCTTCGGGATCATGATGGCCTGGGAGTCCTCACCGCGAAGAGATGACTGCTGGCATACTCCAAGGCTGGTCAGCAGGAGGATCTGCCATGAGTCCACTTTTATTGGGTTTTAAATGAGTAGTTAGCAGAATTAATATGGCAATTAAGGAGCCAGCTGCAGTGGGGTGCTTTGAAGGAGCTGCAGCTTGATTAACTGTGGTAGAGCTCTGGGGAGGGGCTACTGTCCAAGAAGTGAAGTCTTTTTAAATCAGGGGTGTGAAGCTCAGTTCCTGGAGGGGCGAGTGTCTTCTGGTTTGTGGTCCACCTGAGTGAGCAGTTACAAACTTAACTGCACGAGTGTGATACTCCTGTCCTGGCCCTGAGGTGTCTTGTAAGCACCCGCCTCTTTATTTAAAGGGGGAACCGCAAAGCTAATTTCATAGTTTGGGGTTTGAGAAGAATCAGCATTGACGAGGGCCTTTCAAACCACAATAAAAGTCAAAAGTACACGGTAACTTGTAAAACCTCCAATTTACATCACCAAATGGACAAAATTTCCAGGTCTGCGCAGCCCCATATTCTGTGATTCAGAACAAGGCAACAAAACTTCCAGTGACGTGTTGCCTGCCCTATCACAGTGTAAACAAGCAGGCTCGTGAGTACATCTCTTTTAATCCAATAGGAAATCTACCTTTTGATCCTGAGAGGATTTTGCTGACAAATACAACTTGTTAGCTCTGCCTGCAGATCACGTTGGAACATTTCTGCAGTGAAATTTCTGCTGCACAACCTGTACTGATTCGCTTGTAAAAAAACAGTACATTCTTCATTACAGGGACTAGTGAACAGGAAGTGTTGCATCGCGTCACGATTCGTGGGAACACGCGCTCTCGCCCATGGTGAAACCAGGGGTTTGCTACAAAATAGTGACTTACAGTACTGTCACCAAGTTCACCATTTTGTGCTTAATTCTCAATTTGTAATTTTTTTCTATAACATCAGTGAGTTTATTTTGTTCCAGAGATTTAATAGCCGGTATGAGAAATTGGGACTGCAGTTCCCCTTTAAGTGCATTTGAGTAATCAACTGTAAAAGACCAGAGAAACGTGCTCGGAATGTAATTAGGTTCTTGGGTAATTGATGACTCAGGATGGAACAGAACTCGGAAGGAATCAGGCCTGACGACCCTGGTATAAATCATCAGAAGCTTTTTAAATTGGTCCAATTAAACATTTAAGTCATTAAGAGATAAAGTGGAAATAAAACCCATCAAGCACTCTGATCTTTAAAATATGAAGTTGTTCGTTGCCAGTATAGAGACTTTTACCAGTTTGCAATAATTCCATTAAAAAGGATTCCCACCACACACAAACATCTGTGTTCCCACATTTCTGATTTAAAGACAGCCTTTTTACTAACTTGCAATCCTGTGCTCCTGGTATTGGTGAGACCTGGGTGATTTTCCTGGGAAAGGTGCTATTCACTGGCAGAAGAGGGGAGAGAGAAATGAATGATCTTGGAAAAGACCAGGTAAAAGGTGTTTTAAAAAAAAAGAAATGCCTTTTTGATTTTCAGAATCGACCCACGATACATTCTGAAAAGTTCAGGACTGCATCCGATGCGAGTGCTGTGGCCCGTTTTTGTCCCTTTCTCCCAGTCTGAATCAGTTATCCAAGCGACAGTCGCTGGATCCAAGCACTGGCTGCTGTAAGTGCTGTGGGTAGCCCAGTAGGTGGCGCTCTTCCCTCCAAACCTGAATTTCCAGTATGGTGGCTGGGGACAGTACTGGAGGAGGTGTCATCCTTTGGATGTGATATTGCAATCCTGACCTCTTGGTCATTGAAAATCCCATGACACTGTTCTGCTCTAGGCTTCTACAAGCCTAAAAATTCCCCTGTGGTAAGATCGGTGAAGCAATTTCTCACTTCCTTACACAGTCTGCTATACAGCCAGGCTGCTGGTGCAGAACGGCCCCTACGTATCGTCCAGGTGCAGGGCAGTAATTCACGGGAGTTGAAGAGGGCTCCCCTTCTGTAACGTGTAAAGTGTTTTGAGATGAAAAGCGCTATTTACCTCCCACACTGTCTGCGCGGTTCGTGGAAATTCCTCACAATACAGCGGGAGAAGAAAGTGAAACCATTTGTACAGTTGTTGTTGTTACACAAGTGCACTGACCGGGGCTTTCCTGGGCGGTACAGGGCACAGGTCCGCGTTACCGGTGAACGTAACTCTGGGCTGTTCGGGTACCGCTCGGCTCTGGAGCCCGACGGACAGTGACGCCCGCCTCGCCCTTCTACTGCACGGAGGAGGAGGAGATGCCCAGGAAGAAGACCGCAACGCACAGCGAGGAGAAAACGAAACCCAGGGGAAGAAAAAAACGAGGGGTCCGCCGGGAGGGCGCGGGAGCCAGACGCTGGTATAAAGCTTCGGGCGAGAAGAAGGCAGGCGGATCGGAACCAGAGCGCAGCCCGGCCCGCACAGGGATCGGTACGTCAAGTCCGCAGAACATCCAGACGGAATGACTCGCTTGATGCGTCAGGCTTCAGTAATTCTTACGCTATTACTGTTCAGTATCCAAATAAATACATGTACTGTACTGTGTATAGTGTATAATGCGTCAGAATAAGAAATGATCCTTGCGTTTTATGTGTGATTGTACAGTTCTGTGTAGTTGTTTAGACTATAGAGCACCATAGATGAGAATTAAAATACCTGCTGACTCAGGTTAAGGCGGTGAGATACCGTCATACTTCCGGGCATCGAGACGAGCGAAGTTTAAGGAAGACACTTCAATTTTAAGTACCGTCGGTGTAAACGCGCAGCTCTGAGGCTGTCAGGGAGTTTGTCCGTCGCGGCGTTTTAAACACCCAGATCGGATGCCCCCCAGACAACGTCTGGATTCAGAAACCGCAGAGTAACGTCGGTATTTCGGGAGGGTCTCTACTGATGTGTTCGTTTATAATATGGAAAGTACGGACACGCATTGCTGCCACCAAGGGAAAACAAATCGCCCCCATATCTCGTAATTACGAATTATCACGGAATTACGAGATAGCAGTGCTTACTCCAGTGTATGTACAACCTGTTAACGTTGTGCACTGAACGCATCTAAAACCTGCCGTGAACTTGGCTGAAACTTTCGGTTTAGTGTCCCTGTCCAGCGCTGCAGAATTTGTACGATTTTACTTTCGACTAGAGTTTAGTCATAATGAAATCTTGCAATTTATAAGCATGAGGACCGGTTTTGTGGGATTTAGAGATCAAAGTAATGATGGCTCCCTTATGAACAGTTAGACCTGCAATCGGCTCCACTGCTTAAAACTGTAAGTCCGCACGTAGCGATATAGGTATTACATGACAATTAGGCTATCGCGTGATCACGTAAAGTACGGGAGAATTATTTTCTCGTAATTACGAGATAAGGGGGCGTAGGAAAGTAGGCGAAGGCTCTCTGACTATTGTTGAAGTCTCCCAGGAGTTGTTTTAATGCACGTTACGTGTGTTATTTAGGCAACATAAATCAAAACTAATAACTACCGTATGTGAAACTGGCGTTTTAATTTACGAGCAGGTCTGTATCGGCTTCCGTTCCGACTCTTTAACAGTTCGACAACGGAGTTTTCTCGATGTTAATTAGTTCTTATTAATAGTTGTAACAACCCAACGTGTTTTTTTTTCCAACCGTTATTTTAAAAGAGCCTCACACTAAGAGCTCGTCGGGCGCTTCCAATGTACCGCTTAGCTGAGATTGATACGGTCATTCACACCACGAAAACTAGAGAGAGCAGCTACGATCAATGTGTGTTGTTGTCAGCCCCGAATCCGTTTCGCCATTGTACTACATGCGTGAGAAAATTCGCTAGCCATCCAGCGCTGAGCACTTCCGAAACTGGTTTCGATTGCACGCTGATAAAGATCCCGGGCAGAGCGTCAGGTGTTTCCAATCAAAGGGGTTTTTCCTACCTGGTGTGGGTCGCCTGTTGAGGACTCTTGGAACAGAAATTGAATAAAAAACCAACAATCTGGTTAGGAAGCCTGTTTGAAGCAGTTCAATTAAAGTAATCGATTACTCTGATTAAGAGCCCGACTGGAATGATACCCAGAGGACTCGCGTGGCTGAGAATGACTGTTTCGGATCAGCCTTATAAGTCAGTCCAAGCCAGTCAGTCTTATGCTAAATCCTAGAGAGAAAGGAATCCCAGTTCTAGGTACTAGAAACACACGTCAATTATTCATCCAGTCATTTGTAATTTAATTAATGAAGGCAGTTGGTCCTGAAAAGACAATGAGTCTACATTGCAAATGATCTCTAATTTACCAGCTTTGACAGATATACTGCTAGATTGATGATATTTCTCAATTTTTAGAGATCTACGGTTTAATGACGAACTCCAAAACCCACTGTTTTACCGCACACGGGCACCAGGACCGGTCGTCCCTGTTGTGAAGATGGATAGCTCTGTGGGCTGTTATATCTAAATATGCCCACAAGGTGTAGACAGTGATTCACCAAGAGACGGTCCTGCAGGGTTTCTGCAATATTCACCTGGAAGGCCTGTTGATCTCGTCTGGCTGATCCCTTATGCGGTTGTGATCCGAGGATACATAGCCCCTTCCTGAAGAATGCCAGCTCTTTGTTTTCAGACGATGCTGCATGCAAGACTCACTGTGTGAAGCTGCTTATTTTCTGTGCGCAATCGTCCAGCTCTAAATTCTCCATGTCCATGTCTCCGGGACTGTGTCTATTTGCTGAATGTGAAACAGTGCACCGAAGATCAGAGCTCATAAATACAAGCACCTCTGTTTCAGTTAAGGAGCTGCTGTTCCTCAGTTTAGTTACATATTAGCTTCTTCTAAAATGCAATTTTACCACAGTGACATTTTTTCAAATGGAAACAGACCATCAGTCTTACAGTCAGATATATACTCCGCTCTGGGTTATGTTACATTGGTTACTCTGATAAAGAGTAGCCAATACTGTATTACTACCACAATAATATACCCAGTTTTGTTAGAGCTCTAGTGTGCGTTTGTAAATGAGTGACTCATTGCAGTGATTCTGATTTGTCCTGTTGTGTGTCTAGCGGAGCTAGTTCGGCACGGTGACGTCATCGCCCTCCCTGTGAATAGCGGGCACCTCACCCGTCTGGGTACCTTTAGCTCACTCTGGTGGTTCCCTGTTGCGTTACACCGGAGACCCGGGTTTCGATTGCACGCTGATAAAGATCCCGGGCAGAGCGTCAGGTGTTTCCAATCAAAGGGGTTTTTCCTACCTGGTGTGGGTCGCCTGTTGAGGACTCTTGGAACAGAAATTGAATAAAAAACCAACAATCTGGTTAGGAAGCCTGTTTGAAGCAGTTCAATTAAAGTAATCGATTACTCTGATTAAGAGCCCGACTGGAATGATACCCAGAGGACTCGCGTGGCTGAGAATGACTGTTTTGGATCAGCCTTATAAGTCAGTCCAAGCCAGTCAGTCTTATGCTAAATCCTAGAGAGAAAAGAATCCCAGTTCTAGGTACTAGAAACACACGTCAATTATTCATCCAGTCATTTGTAATTTAATTAATGAAGGCAGTTGGTCCTGAAAAGACAATGAGTCTACATTGCAAATGATCTCTAATTTACCAGCTTTGACAGATATACTGCTAGATTGATGATATTTCTCAATCTTTAGAAATCTACGATTTAATGACGAACTCCAAAACCCACTGTTTTACCGCACCCGGGTGTTGCGGGACGATCCGGCGGGGTGGAGCGGCGAGGGCACGAGACCGCGCGGAACCGCGACGGTCACATGTGAAGAAGCTGTTGAATCTGGCTGTGCTGTGTGCCTCTCTGACAGAGCCGTTCCCTTGTCCCTTTCCTCCCAGGTAAGGACATGCAGACTCCCTGTGGACACAGAGTCAGCCACAGAGAAGTCATCAGCTTAATCAAGAAGTGCCTGGATCAAGTGAGCTTGCTTTCCTGTTAATGGGTGTTACCAGCAGCAGCAGCTGGGATGCTGCATCGCAGTTCTTGGGTCCTGGGTTTGATTCTGGGATGGGACACCTTCTATGTGGAGTTTGCATGTTGCCCCATGGGTCTTGGTGGGGGTATGTAGGTTGCCCACATGTCTACCAATAATAATAATTCCTTATACTTATGTAGTGCTTTTCTGGAAACACCACTCAAAGGGGGACTCCCCTCCGCCACCACCAGTGTGCAGCCTGTACTGCTATACACCAGTACTCTCCCACACACCAGCTCTCAGTGGGGAGGAGAACAGAGTTCAGAGATGGGGATTATTAGGAGGCCATGATTGGTAAAGGCCTGGGGGGAATTTGGCCAGGACATTGGGGAAACACCCCTACTCTTTTCAAGAAACGCCCTGGGATTTTTAATGAGTCAGGACCTCGGTTTTATGTCTCATCTGAAGGACGGCACTATACGGGGACATTAGGACCGGCCTCACTAACACTTCTTCCAATAGACTGGCTTCCTTTCCTTTGCGCCCTATACTTGAGGGACAGGCCCCCTGGATAGCAGCGACACTCTCCAGAGTTTGATGCCGAGATCAGCACTAATGTCATCTTCAAAACTAAGCAACCCGCTACTCAATAACATGGGCAGGGCAGAACAAACAAACTCCCAGAATTCACTGTTCCACTGTTGCCCGCTCCACAGGTGTTGGGGAAGCTCTGTGAATCATGACAGGTTAAATCATGTGATCTGTGCTTTCTTGAAGACCCTGTGCAGGGCAAAACCACTGAGGCAATTAGAGAGGGGGTAATATGGGTGCACGTCTGTCTCTTGCTGTAGAAGAGGCTGGAGTTCGGCTGCCCAGTTTGTGAGACACAATGGGAATGGAGGGAGGTGCGGAATCTGGCGGAGCTGCCGGAATCGGAGCTCAAGCCTCTGGAGGAGAAAGTGAACCAGATCCTTCTGGATTCTTCCCATCTTTACAAGAAGGTGAGTGGACACAAGATCTTTCTGGGTGTTTTTTAACGATTTCTGACATTACTCCCAATAAATAGAGATGGCAGCTCACTGTGTGTAATGCAGAGGGTGTAGTTATATAGGGAACAAAACAGACCTTTAAAAACAGGAGGGGAACTTCCTGGAACACTGATTAAGGAAACGGAATATATTCCTGAGAACATATTTTGAACATGTATCTTACTGTTAAGGATTACCAGAAAAAGTATATTGAAATGGTTAATAAAAACGTGGAAAATAACATATGGTTAGATCAAAAATACCTGCTAGAGTAGCTTTTAAGTGTGTTCTGACGGAGTATAGATAAGTATCAAAGAGGTCCCGGAATGCATGAAACCAGGCAACTGCAAACAGCAAATAGTGGGGCATGCTGGGAACAGTGGGGCATGCAGGGAATAGAGGGGCATGCTGGGAAGTCATGCTACCGAAGCCAGGGACTGTAGTGTGTTCTCAATCTTTCTTTACTATGCCATCTTCTCCAGTGCCCGACCTGTGACCACATCCTGAAGAGGGCAGTAGATACCTTTGGGACGCCCTGCCCCTACGTCAAGTGCCCACTGTGCTCCCAGAAACAGGGCAAGCCCCATCTCTTCTGCTGGTCGTGCCACAGCCGCTGGCCCGTCCCCGAGTGCGCCAGCCCCGGGCAATGTGCCAACTCCTCCTGCGAGCTCGTGGCCACCCTCCTGACCTGCCCAACGGTCACCGACTTCAGCAGCAAGGTGTACGGGTGCCCGATCTTCCGCTCCTGTCCGCGGTGCCACAGCCTCATCATGCACGAAAAAGGCTGCAAATATGTCAGGTGCCAGAGCTGCAGGCACAGCTTCTGCTTCATCTGCTTGGAGAGAAGCAGAATTTGCCGAAAAGATGAAGAGTTGTACTTTTCCTTAATGTGCAAGAAACCCAGAGCTAAGAGACAGACATTCTTCACCCAGATGCCCAAGTAGCGCCAGCATTAGGCAGCTGAGTTACTCTTCTACATTGGAATACACACAGTGCCTTGCTTTCAGTGACATCCTGTTTTGATGAATTATAAATGATGCACACACATTTTTTACATTGAATATTTTTAATCAAAACATGAATGCTTTATCTGATCACTGGGGGTTGATTTAATTCAAATGAAGTGTACATTCTTAATAAGACTTGTGTTTTTTATGCACTTGAGATTACTTAATCTGATTTCTTTCTGTCTAAATATTACTCAAAGATTAACCTGCTTGGGTCTTGGTTTCACTTCCAAAAATCACTGTCATGTTACCATTCTGTAATGAGTCTTTTGGCTGATGTCCTAGCAAGTAAAGACAGTTGTTTCGTAGATATAACACTGGTACAGTGAAGTAAGCAATGTAAGCACAATCATGGCTGTGTAGTGTGCTCTCACGAGGCACCAGTTCTGTAGGGTTTGGGCATTTACTGGGACAATTATTAATTGTAGCAGTAAATCACAAAATTGATTCTTTTGATGGCTTTAGAATCCAACCATGCGATATAACTCAAACAACGCACACACACAGGTACTAATACACGAGGATACATTTATTAATACATAGAATATGCATATAAACCTAACAGATCTTATCGAGAGGGTTATCAGAATACAAAAGGTATATATTCAGTCAGTTACAAAGAGTTACATATATCAAGAGGAAATACGTTCAGTATATCATTCATTTAGACCGTTTCGTAAATGAACTTGGTTATAACTTCTACATTAGATACTCAAAACAAGTACATAACTCTTAGGAATTAAATTGATATCAACTGGTTGGGATAACAATTGAATTCTCGAGCAGTAATGCAGTGAAGTTGAATACTCATCCAATCCCTGGGGATTCAGATCTCCTGCGGGCACAAAGAAACAATTGCAGGCTGTTGCTGTCCAATCCGCGCTCTCTGGCTCGGTGCCAGGCTGTGCTGTGCGGCTTGCGACGGTGCGCTGATGCTCACTGACCGGCTAGTTAGTGTTGGCTTTAACTAGCAAAGTTTGCACACAGGAGAAAAGATGACTGTGAGTCCCAGCAAGTCAGGAAGAGGACCGGTTCGTTCCTGATGAAGAGCTAGTTCTGAATAGTGATTCAGCTGTCCACAGTTCCAACCTGTTCACGAGGCTTGCTGCTGATGCTAACCTCGGGTGGATCCTCTGGTTACTCTGGGACTCAGGATACAAAAGCCAAAACACAGCATGAAAGTTCCCAATAAACTGGACTCTGATCGGCCCATCATTCTCTCTGTCATTCTCCAGTCTCGGCACACATTTGCTGCATCATAATTTGTGCTGTCCTTTCTTTTGGCTCAGATTGTTATCCCCTGAAATAATTATTTAAAAAAAAAGAGTTTTTGTGCACAAGGAAGAATTCAGCAGAAATACAGGAGCATGAAAACAAGTCTATTTTTAAAGGTGGTAGAACATCACATACAGTATAGCACACAATTACTGTGATCCTGGGCCACAGCCTGTATAGTCATGACTACATATAGCAGTTCCCAGAGTGGCCTCAAGAGCACCAGAATTCACCAGTGTTTTCTAAGTAAACAAGATGCTAATGTTTTGGAGCAGAAAAGCAAACCCTGCACGAGGAAAGTATTAGTGCACAACTATATTAGTTCCAGAGAGGGATGCCGGAGTTGTCCTCTTTGTTGTATTTTTTCATGGTGAGTTGCAATTCAAAGTTTTAATTATTCACCAATAATTATTCTATTTTTCTCCAATTATTCTGTTACTTGATGCACCTTTTCTTCCTGAGCTTTTTTGTACAGTGCCAGGAACGGAAAGAGCATCTTGCCAAGGAAAAGCTGGAAAGTCTGGTGGAAGTTTTTGAACCAGAGCAGGTTGTACCTGTAAATCCGGATGGAGGCGTCGTCAAGGAAGACCACGTCTGTAACGCAGATGTCTCCCATTGTCCACATGTTGTACTGCAGTTCGAACTTGAACTTCACCCTGGGCTCACCACTGTGTGTCAGGCACTCGCTCTTCCTCCGCCCAGTGCACAACAGGCGGACCTCACGCCCACTGCGGTAGACGGTGCAGTTATGTGCGCTCAGGCACCGATACATACTGTGCTGCCTCTTGGTCTCTTTCACTACCTGACACCTTACCTCCTCCTCACTCACGCCTTCCTTGTCTGCCTTCCAGCTCACCCACCGGCTCAGGGATTCGGTTTCATCAGCGCTCTTGTCTTGGCATTTGGTGTCAGCGGTGGGATTCAAGCCCAGGCTGATGGAGCTGTGAGGGATGTCCTCATCCAGAGAAAGGCCGGACATCAACCTTTGGAGGTCAGAAAGTTCAACCTGTTGGATCAGTGGACTTTCTTGTTCTTCATCCAAGAGCTCATCAGGAACCGACGCCTTTAACCTGATGGGACTAAAGTCAGTAGGCTTATGGATCTGATCTTTGACCTCAGACCCCTTCCTTAAGCCCACAGTGCTCTGTTCTTCAGAAAGGTGGTTTCTGTTTAGATAACGCTCTTTCCATGTTCGGGTGAAATACCGACCACGCTCAGATGCAACGGCCCGAGCTTCCTCCTCCTCTCTTGGTCCCACACGGAATATAGCCCTGGAACTATCTGGTTGTGTCCAATGACCACCTTGATGGAGGCCTTCTGCCGAGTCCCGCTGACCGCTCTCATCCAATACAGCTCCCTTCTTCCGGCCTCTCTTCGTGGAGTGATGTGGCCTCGCTGGTGAGCTCCTTGCCCTGTGCGTCAGGACCGTTTGCTGTGGGAAAAGACCAGCAGCGTTGTCCTGACGTTCAGGCCCCGTGTCAGAGAGCAGCAGCATCTGGATGACGTAGTGCCAAGGGAACGCTTTCCCCTGGTACAAGTAAGGGTCCACGCGAGACGCCAGCTCCCTCGCTTCCGTCACGTTCAGGTCCAGCTGCTCCGCCAGTCTCCTCCCCTTCAGCTCCGCCCCCTTCTCCCGCAGCTCTGCGGTCGTCAAGGACAGCCGCGCGACGAGCCGGTCCTGTCGCTCGGGAGCGCCAGCGAAATCCGCCATTGTTTTCAGGTAGTACTCGCCTGCAGTTCAGAACGAACACTCGGTACTGTGGCAGCTTCAGTTCGGCGAACCGAAAAGAGAAGCAGGGGTCCGCTTGGGTGGATGGATAGTGTAATCATTTTCTACAGCAAACAATTTTCTAACCCCTTTATCCAGTACGGTGTCACGGGGAAACCGGAGCCCATCCCAGCATGCAATGGGCACAAGGCGTGATACACCCTGGACTGGACTCCAGTCCATCACAGGGCAGACGAGGACACACTCATACCAGGGTCAATTTTGCTAGAGGCCAATAGACTCACTAGCATGTTTTTGGACTGGAGAGGAAACTTGGAGGACCCAGAAGAAATCTACATTAACATAGGGAGCACAAGCTAACCTCACACAGATGGTACCCCAGAGCTGAACCTTGGGTCCCAGCACAGTGAGGCAGCAATGCTAATTACTGGGCCAATATGCTACTTGTGATTGAACTATTTTAAAAAATGTGTCATTATTTTTTCCAATTCCTAAAAATCAGCTTTAGTTGCTGAAGTACCATAATAGAAAACAAAATAATTCTGGTTTGGAGATTCATACTCTGATCCAAGGCCTCTGTTCGGAAGACACCCTGGAGGAATTGTGCAAAGACATACTCACACTGGAGGAAGGGAAAGCCCGGTTGGTCCTGACTTGGTCTTGGTACAGTCTGAGGCCCAGTGCTTTTTTTCACTAGAGGGGAACAAACGACAAAAAGGCTAGACTTTGATGCAGTCAATTTCTTACTGGGAGGTCAGGCCACTAACACCTTGAAGCAGGTCATAAAGGTCTTAGGGGAGATTCCAGCTGCTTTCAGGAGTGTAAAAACAAAGAAATCGCTAGCAAGTCTATTTAAAAAGAAAATGTGAACAAATCATGTTTCAATGCATTGCAGGGGTGCCTGTGAGCTTGCCATGCATTCTGGAGAGCCACACCTCTATTCCAATCCAGGTTAATTCCGCTACTGAAGTTATGTCCTGTCGACATTCACTCTCCCCTTCGGCTGCTGTGGTGGTGCAGAGCTGGCAGGGTCTCAGATTGGATGGCTCCTTAGGGGTAGGAGGGTCAGAGGAGCTCATCCGCCCAATGACATTCTCCCCGTGCGGTGGGGGGGGGGGGGGTGGAGGGGTCTTTGTGAGCCACAACGTAAAGCCACAATTGGCGAATCCAAACTAGATGGAATTTAAATGCTACGATGGCAATGAATGTCTTAAGCAATGGGGAAGGACGCGTGGCACAATCACACCTACCTGTCTGCTGGATTGCCGCAGTGAAGGGCGCCAGCAGGCCCTGCACCCTGGAGTCGTTCCGGGGGATGGCCCTCATGGCTCTCTGGATGACCCTCACGGAGCCCTCCAGGCCGTAGTGAGAGACGATGACCTGGGGCATGTCCTCCCTCCCGGTCTTCTCCTTCACTCCGGCCGGGATCGCACCCAGCAGCAGGAGCAGCTTCTTGTACTCCCTCTCCAGGAGCTCCTCCAGGATGTTGGACAGAGCCAGGCACCAGTCCCTTTCCCGAATCGCTTGGAGAGGGAGAAGGACAAAGAGGGAAGATTGGATAAACTGTGGGACCTTGCAACACCACACTTGGGTTTTTTTATAAATCACTGACATGACCTGTGTGAAACAGTGTTTAACATGATGTCAGAAGTTGTGCATTTACATGTTGCAATAAATAACACTAGAGTAGAGTAGTAGAGCAGTAATACCACTCCCTCTGATACTGTTACTACTGTACTACTACTAAAACTACCTCTAATGCTATTACTACTGTAATACTGCTGCTACTTACTGTATATAACTCTCACTAAACTGGACTACTAACACTGTTACCACTGTCGTACTGCTACTGCTGCTTTACTACTATGAGTAACAATAATATTTAAGATCAGCTCATGAACTATTTTGTGAACTTGAAGCCATTCTGTATAGGGTGGTGTGGTGAAATGCATATGTATTTAATTAACTAAATTTAATGCAACAAAAAAATGATCTTCGGTCAGTTTCCTTCTTGTGGTTGATGTTGTTTGGGGAAGGGCAGCTCATAGATATGCCCTCAAATTCACTTACTGCTGGCCATCGCCCAGATCGCTGCCCACTCAGAGTCCACTCAGTAAACGGGGCGTCTGCTCCCCTTGAAACAAAAAGGATTAAAATGAAAGTGAGGGGATGCCGACAGATGAACTCCCCAGGGTAAAAAAACTTTGACTTAAAACTCAGCACCCCAGCCTGCTAAAAGACATGCACATCGACCACAGCTGCTGGACAGAAGATTGTTGCAGCAAATGCAGACTGCAGGCTTAGTGTTGTCTGTTTCTGCAGGGTGGCTGGAGAGACCAGAGTTACTCAACACCCTTTCTAACAAAGCTGCTGTGCCTGGGCTCTGATGGGGGCTGGGGAACTCCCATCAGGAGAACTCGCCTGTTGTCAGACCTCAGGCAACGTTTTCAAAAATGAAAGCATCGCTTACTCCTTCCCAGAATGCTTGAAGCCAGTGGATCTCGGCCCTGGTCCAGAAATAACCCAGCGTTCTTCTGTTTTCATGCCTGCTGGGCTTCTAATTGCATTACCCGATCGCTTTCATTGATCTGTTTGCTCGAATAGATCACACGGAGCCTTCCTCGCGTTTTCGTTTCAGAAGTGCTTTGGCACAGGTGAACGCACACAGCTGAGTTGAGCCTCTCCTGATCTTGTGGTGTTCCTCCAGGATCAGGGCAGGGAGACCACTCTCGGCAAACAAACACAAGATGTCTTCCCTCTTATCGGAAGAAGGGCTTGAACTGATTAATACTCCTAATTAACCTTAACAGCCCACATCCACAGGGCCATTTAAACAGGGCTGAGACAGGCTGTGGTTTTCTAAGTGCTCCATAACAAGTTAAACATTGTTCACTGTGCCAGAAGGATAGTGCAATTTCTTCCGGGAATGGAGCCTTTGTCATCTTTTTTTCATCTAGTTGCCAGAAATAGAAATGAAAACCACTGTTCTGGCGCAAGGGCAGCCCACACTCATTATGTGGTCTCGTGCTTTAAGAAATTACATGTCAAAAATGGCTTCTTACCTGCAGGAACGGCGGTGATTGTTGCCTGTTGTGGGGTAGTTCTGTGTTTGCGCGAGTCTCTGTCGGAGTCTCAGCAGGTTTGAATTTTCTCCTCCTTCTCTTATTGGACAGCCCCACTTTCCTGGGTGAGTAGACCGAGAGAGGGAGGCAGCGAAAACACGGAGAAAGGATTTTCGTCAGGTTTGGCAGTGCCAATCCATCTGGTAAGCCTCCAATTATTGAACTGGGGATTTCCCAGAAGTCAACAAATCTCAAATGGGCAAGCAAACCACAAATGCTCAGATCAAGAGTGAAAGGTTAAGCATCTTGCAGGCAGATCGGTTTTGACAACACACGGCGGGCTGAGGATGGTGCAAGCCGAGCAACATCCTGGGCTGATCTCGCTTTCAATTCAAGCTGGGCTTGCAAATCGAATCAAAACCTGACAAAATCCAATCAACAAGACATCTCCTTACCTTTCAGGCTATTCTCTCTGGGCTTGAAGGCGAAATTCAAGGTGACAGCAGTACAGATTGTGAACTTTTCCCATTCACCTCTAACTTTGTTGCTTTTCTGTTTCCTGAAAAAAAACCCCGAATATTACAGTACATGTGGTGGGGCATTTAAGGATGGGTGTGACCTGCTAAAAACATCAATGACCGTTTACTTGTTCACCGCATTTAATAGCTTCACCCCTTTCCTGTTTTGCAGTTTAGTTTTCAGATTTATTAACACGCAGTTAAACTTGCTCTTTCCCAGCTGATCACGTGAGAATATAAGGTTGGCAAACGACACGAAGGCCTTTTGGCCCATCAGGCATGTCTGTGTTTCAGCAGCTAATTGATCTCATCCAGCCGCTTCTTGCAACAAACAAGAAAAAGCCGTATGAGTGGGTCATTTGTTCCATACTCCCACAACTCTTTGTGTTAAGAGGTACCCCCTTTTCTCAGCTCTTAAATACACGTCCCCTTCGTTTCCCTTTGCATCCTCCTGGTTTGCATTTCACTCCTGAGGCTACAACAATTCAGTTCTTGGATCTCCTTGATGTGATCACTTGGCTCAGATGGACAGCGCTTGATTGCTGTTGTGCTGATTTGCCCACTGCCGCCGGAGCAATACAGAAAATGCGCTAAGCAGATATACCAGCTTCACTAATCACATGGAAAATCGGATCAAAGGAGCGCAGGGGGGCATAAATAGTTTTTTATTTGTTCTGAGGCTTCATCGACTGGCTCCACCTCCGCTGCTCACGGCAGACCGAGCCACAATATCCTGCAGCTCAGTTTGCGCCCCCCCATTATCAACACCTGGCTCTGAGCCCCCCCAGCCGCCTCAGGGCTCAGATAATGGAAGCCTCAAGCCCACCTGCACCAGAGCATTGGCTGAAACGTCACGCTTTTTGCACCGGAGTGTAAAAAGAAATGAGCGATCCCCGTGACTGCTGGATCAGCGCGGTTTTATCAGCCGACTCAAGACAGCAGGGCGCACCCTAACCGGCAGGGGGCAGCAGAACCCTCCTGCCAGGGCTCGTGCAAGCCCCGGCTGTCAGATCGGTGTCACTGCGCCAAGGCACCAGGGAGTGACGATTTTAATTCTCACCATGGAGAAACGGGGCTGGGGCAGTCAAGGGGGCAGCTGCAGAGAACAGAGTTACAGTCCTAGCGAGTCACAGTGAAAGCATGGTCACTGGTCATGTGGAAGATCCGGGCTGTAAGATCAGTGTCACTGCGCCCAGCCAGACACCAAGGAGTGAAGAATAATGTAACGACCACGGGGTTCGGTACGGAATGGAGCAGACGTTGGGCTCAGGAGAAAGGGTTGAACAACACATTTATTAACCTGATCAGGCGGAAAGTACACACACAGGAGCAGGGATTTCAGCTCTGCAACTACACTAACACAGACACGAAGGGAAGAGACTGTCTCCCAGCCTCCGTCCCAGTATATACAGTCCCATAACCCCGCTATGAATTACATGAATTACGTTACTCTAACAATGTAATGCTGTTTCTCAATAAAAACAAACTTAAAGTGGTGTTTTCATTAGCAATATGGAACTAGTTAAAGTTAGCATAGTGATATGACAGTCAATACAGCTGAGTCCTGGGTTCGAATGGTTGTCTGGTCTGTGTGCATGTAGGTTTTTTTTTTCACATTTTGAAAAATATGTTTGACTGTTATATTAAACTGTCCCATTGTGGTTGACCTTGAGGAAATAAGCTGTACCCCACCTCTTTACTCCACCCTGCACCCCACCGTTTTACTCCACCATGTACCCCACCTCCTTACTCCACCCTGTAACTCACACCTGGTAGATTGCTGGAGCTCAGCAGGTGTGATCCTGGCCAGTACCTGGATGGGAGACTCCTGGGAAAGCTAAGGCTGCTGCTGGAAGAGGTGTCAGTGGGGCCAGTGGAGGGCACAGAAAAGTGTTATGTAAGTGTAAACTATTATTATTATTACACCTGAAGAAGGCTCACACCTGAAGAAGGCTCCACAGCGGAAACTTTGTGTTTTCTCTCTTCTCTTTTCAGGACAGGAATAAACCTATTACTTGTTCCTTTGCAGACTACGCATGCTGATGCAGCTCCCCACCTGAACTACTACTACTACTACTTATTATTATTATTATTATTATTATTATTATTATTATTATTATTATTATTATTATTATTATTATTAATAATAATATTTCGGTGCACCCGACATCTTTACCCTGTCCTGTAGATGAGTGGATGAGTAGGTTAAAGACTGAGCAATCTGATACACGGTATCTGGCCTTACGTAGCCGACTCGCCACAACATCTTGAATACCTCTTGCAGGATGAAATAAAAACCAGAAAGCTGCAGTTCTTTTCTTTTAGAGCATTTTTATTAGAATGCTTCATGGCACGCCAAAAATATTGCCACTCTTAAGGAATTAGAAAATATCAGTGCTCCCCATGCTGGCCAGGAGCTTGTCGAAATGCACGGGCTGGTTTTCTTTGTTGCAGGTGATCAGGATGTGGTTCTTCGTGTTTGTTGTCTTGTAGTTGCAAGTTTGTCCCTCCCGCTCACAGACGGTAAGGGGGAAGGGCTTGCTGCTCTTGTGTTTTCTGGGATCCTTCTGAGGATTCTCAGTGCAGACTTTTTTGACCTGACTTTCGTCGGCGTGGATGAAGGTGTTGTTCAGCTTGCATGTGCCCCGCTGTGTGTTGATCATCTTCATTTTCCTTTTACAGTAATTGATGTCGCCTTTCTGAACTGAGTTGTCCACATGCTGCCTCACAAACTTCTTGTATGGGTTCTCCCTCGGACGCTGTCGCAGTGAGGCAAGCAGACAAAATATGTGCTTAGCACTGAACCTCTTTTATTTCATTTGAGCTATGAGCTTGGGCTTGCCTGTCACTTTCCACAGTTAGCACTCCCAAGCCCCACCTATGAGGCACTGGGATTTAGGAGATATAATTAACATATTATTTCAATTATCATAATTAACACATATATTATAATGCACAGAATTCTTTCAAAAACTCATGCCACAGTCTCAAATGATGAAGCAACAGTCAGACACTCACAGCACTGTTAATAAGTGTACGGTGCTTTTTCTTCTAAAGGAACCTGAAGTGTTTTACATACAGGAGAGAATCCCCTTCATCCACCACTGAAATACAGCTCCCACCTCGGCCACACATGACAGCCAGTATGCAGCGGCACACAGCAGGCGCAGAGAAGAGAGAAATTGGTTCACCAGTTTAATTCAGGATACTTTAGGGAGGCCAGATTGAGTTGCATAGCAAATCACTGGCTGGGAACATCCCAGATGAGATGGACAGAAGCATTACCCAGACAAACTGATTCTGCAGAATCCTGTACTATAAATGTCAGCCTTTAACACTTACAAATGTTCCCCCCCCCTACCCTAACACTTACAAAATACACAAGACTTACAGTATACAGGGTGGCACACTCCCCATATAGGGGAGTAAACTTACAGGTTCAGGTGTAGCTGTGTAGATTCCTGAAGGAATTGTACTGTATGTATGATTATGTATAGATTGATATATTTTATGTAATGTTTTAAGAACAATGTAAAGCTTTGTTCTTAATGTAATGTTTATTTGTACTATTTATATGTTTTTTTGTAAGTTTCTTTGTGTGTAAAGCATAGCTGTCTGGATGCAAAACAAATTTTGGAGAAATCAAACACTGAGGTATTATCGTATTGTCTTGTATTCTATCCTTCTGTTTTTTTCTAGTTGAATCTTTTATTTAACTAGATGAATCAATTGTGAGTTCCCATCTGCAATGATCACTTACCTGCAGCAGAGGATTTAATGGAATTTCTAACGAAAGTTCAGGAGGGATGACAACAACCAAGCTGAATCAGCCTCAGCTGTAAGTAATTAGCAATCGCTCCCAACATCCGTTCCTCTCCCAAAACGCTAAGAACACCTACGAGATGTCTCTTGCATCCTACCTCCAGCCCATCTCCAGCTCTGCAGCTACCCCTTGGTCACCCTGCATGGGGGTCCCATGGCTGCAAAGTCAGCCAAGCGGGTTAAGCCAAAAACTTAGCTCCATAATCCTTTTATGACGCTTTCACCTTGGGTGTTGTCATTCCTAGTGAAATGCAGCACTTGGAGTAAAGTAACTTGGTCAAAGCAGTGTGTAGAGTCCACTGTTCTATAGTACTACCCAAGAGAACACATGCTGTTTCAAGATCAGAGAGCACGATGTTTAATATTAGTGTGTCAGTGTGCCATCTTACCAAACCGTGCTGATCATTGCTCTCCTCGTCTCCTTGCTGGTCCTCACAGCTGCAGTGGAAGTCGGTGGGGTCCCACTCCTCCCCCAGCCCCAGGGACACATGGAAGTACGTCCCACTGGGGAAGGAGCGAGGTCCTTCCAGTGCCTTGCCCCCCCACAGCGTGAGCACGCAGCCCTGTGCTACAGTGAAGGAGCTGAGGAACCCAGCAGAGCCCGGACGAATCTGCCCCTCTCCCCCTTCTCCTCTCTGGGGAGGCAGCGGCAGGCGAGTCCCAGGCTCCGAGGGGTGCAGGTAGACGCAGGACCGAGGCACAGAGGAGCTCTCCAGGAACTGGCAGCTGGAGAGTGGCAGGAGCAAACAGGTGAGCCACAGAGGCATCTTCAACACCGTCGTCATCATCGTCTCCGGATCTGCACACTATCTGTAGACAGAATGAAAAGGAGAGCGTGTAAAAATATAGAAATACATATTTGGTTGGGAATAGTTTCCAGCGTACACGGTATAGCATAATCAGTTTGGTTACGTTCCACACCTCACTCCGACCACAGAATACCACTGAACCTGAAATGAAATTAAGTCTTATGACCTGGGAAGTTCTGTTCATGTCAGTTTCGGATGGCATGCTTTTAGCTGGTGTCTGCAGAGTAGTGTCTTTACAGCTATGGATATTAACTCAAGATGGTATATCAAGCTATTGCTTCAAAGTAAAAAAAAAATCAGCTTCATCTTGAAGAATGCAGATATTTCGCTATTTACAAACCATGACCTTGCTTGCTTAAATCTACAGGGTGTTTGCTGCAGTGCAGTCACTCTTACAGCTTCACTACAGCCGTTATGAATGGCTTATGTTTTTCCATAGTGTTGTGGAGACTTACTGTGGATTTACCTTTTCTGTTTTATGCACTTCTGCTTAGCTTGACCACACTGGAGCATGGCAATGGTATATAAACTGCCATGTGTTTTCAAGCCACATTCCCTGCAGGACTCCCACCGTAGTACAAAGCTCACATTAAGGGTGATGAAAGAAAACTATGGTGGAACCACAGTAAGTCTGCAAAAATACTAAGGACAGAAAACATTATGTCTTTCTAAGCCAGCTGGTTTAGCAGCAACACAGCCTGGCTCCTGGAGAGCCACAGTCCTTAAGTGTCTCCTCATGAGCCAAACCGGACGACCCAGTCCGATCACCGACAGACACCTTGGCTTTCCAGGGGTATACCGGCAGACCCCTGGCCAGCAGGTGCAGTACTTGCCTGGTCTCGTCTTCGGTCAGCGCTGACAGAGGAGGGCTGCTGTCCACAGGGGGTCTTCAGGGTGGGGTCTGCCACTCGTCCGCCTTCACTCTCCAGTCCCGAGAGTCTGCGGCTCTTAGTTTTATGCTGCTCGCTTTCCTGTGCACTCCCAGAGTGACGCAGGCTGACAGCCCACAGCACTCACAGTACTAAGAATAGACCAGATTGTTCTGCACCTCTGCACAAGAGACACAGCTCTGACCACAAACTAATATAGAAATACCTCTGCAAGATCTTTATCTTTTCCACATCTTTTTTCCATTGACACATCTCTCATCAAGGATTACGTGTACAGCTGTAAATTCTCAGCCCCTTTCATTTGAAACTGCCCTGCATCTGGCACATCCTAATGAGTTGAAATTCCAGGTGAATTTACTGAAGTCACACAGGGTGGTGTTAGTACCGTTCTCTGGGACTGTATGTTGACTATGCTCTGTGAAAGTAGAGGCATATAACCTCTTTGTTTTGTAACGGTCCGTTACTGGTTCCCTAAAGATTTTCTCTACTCAGATTAATTCCCAAACTAACTAAATTCTCTATAAATTAAATATAAACTTTAAAATTATAACAGGGACAAATTAGGACATTGACACATCTTGCTCATTTGTCTGCCAAGCAGCTGTTCAAATGCAGGATGTCACCCCCAGGAAATTAGCTGGAGAGCTTGGACTGCTCCCATCCTCCACCTTTCTTGGTGTAAAGAACTCCTGTCCTGTTGTGGTCTTGCTTTCATTCCTGAATACAATCTAATGCATTCTCCCCTTGTTTTCATTGCTTCACTGTTAGTCCTGTAGCACAGTCCTCCAGTTTGGTCTTGTCAACAACCTTTAAACCTTTAATTACTGTTACATCTATCAGTTACATGTCTCCTTGTAATTGTCCTTGTGGAGGACTGAAGACAGTAAGTTACTTTTACTTCCCTTAACTATTTAAGACAGCCCATCTAAGGCCAAGAATTGCCCTTTTTGCTTCTCTCTGAACTGCTTACAGTTCAAGCAATACAGAGCTATACAATTATCAATATCATCATAAAGCTGATGTGCTACATACCTCAAAGAAATGACAGGACGAGATTATCTACTAGAAACCAAATGAGTTTGACAGGTTCAGATAGATACTTTATTGATCCCGTGAGGGAAATTGCAGGGAAATTTAAGGACCTCCTGTCATCCTTAACCTATTATATAATGTTATGTCTTATATGGTATGTGAAAGTTACACTTCTAGGGTGCATTGCTACACATAAAGATAACAACATACCGCACTCTCTGTGTCACGACTGGGAGTTAATGGAGACCTGGCAGACTCGTAGAAACAGAAACAAGTTCCTGTTTTGTTCTTCTCTAGATGAAATCAGAGGTAAAAAGACAACAGCACATTCAGGATGATAGAGGGAAACAGTGTAAAGTCATTGCAATTCTGCCTATGGTGTGCTAACAACCTTATCCTTTTACTAAGAGATGTGACGTTCCTGGACCTTTTCCAGATTAGATATTTCAGTTCAGTCCTTTTGTCCTTCTCTCCTCTAATTCAGAGGCTGCTTGGTAAGAAGCCACTTCAGAAGCAGAGCAGGCAGGAAGGCAGTGGTAGAAACCTCAGACTCAGTATCTCTGCACACGAGTATTAGTCTGCGTTAGTTCAAAGACACTAATCTACGAACAACTACTAGATGGCGGTTTCAGGTGAAGGGTGCCTGTGCCTGTTTATCTGACTGTGGTTGAATAATGATGCTCTGGGAGGGAATAATAAAGCAGTCGGCTCAGAGCGAGGATGATGCATTCTCTCAGCTCTGAGCCGTTCAGCTAGGCCGTGTGGTCGGACCATAGTGCAGACGGGAGACGTGAAAGATAGGAGTGTTTCTTGTCAAGAGGACAGTTCTGCACGTCTTGTCTGTTTCTGATATGCCGTGTAATGGGAGCCCACAAGAACCAAAGTTCTATATAGGGCAGCAGACCCCCGGTGCTGGAGTGCGACAGTAGGCGGAAGACACTTCAGTGCGGTGAGGGCCTGTGTGCTCTTGTTGTTGGGGGTTGGTGGGGTCATTACAGAAGCAGTTTTCCACTCCGATCAATGATACGCTTTTGAAATTATTATTCCCCACTTACTTTTGCGTATAAGCCCTTCTGGTAATGTAAATGATGTAGATGCTTTCTCCCAGGTCTCTTACGGGTGAGTACATGTTACTTTTGCTCATTAACCAGAATTCAGGATCTCCGGGCCTACACTGACCACCTGAAGAAACTGAAGACTACGGGTTAGATTTGATACAAGCACTTTCAAAATCTTCACTTTCTTCAGAGTGAACTGTGGAACACACAACCACAACCACAGGGCGCAAGTGGAAACTACATGGAAGAACATTTAAGACTGAGAACAGGAGGCTCTTCTTTTCACCAAGAGCTGTGAGAGTATGGAAAAGGCAATCCAGGTATGTTCTCAAAATTGGCACCGGCTGTTTTTTTGAAGATCTTTGGATCATTAAGCTACTAAGTACCATACAAGCCAAATGGTCTGAATGACCTCCTCTTATTTTCTTCATGCTTCCAATCTGCTACTGTCCAGTCCTAGTCCTGCAGTGTCGGTGTGTCTGCAGTATTTGTTCCCACTCAGCTAATCAATCACCTCGGTATTTCGTTGGACCAGTTTCACTGGTTCTCCCAGCTCTTCAGATTCTGCTGCTTTAAAGAGATTGTGCAGACTCACCAGGTCCTCCGGGACTCCGATCGGACAGCCCTGGTCTAGATCTTTAATGATCCCTTTCAGACACCTGGGGTGCAACTTGGATGCCAACACATCAAAGCCAAACCCAGTTTCTTCCGCTGCGGTTGGCTCAGTCCATCAAAGAGCCACCAGTGGAAAAAACGCCCTCGACCGCAAAAGTCAGCTTTCAGTCACAGCTTGCACGCCGATCTCAGCAACGATACACCAGCAGGCTCCCGCGGTGACCACAGAGCTGCAGCCGGAACAGAAACTGGCGCTGCCACAGGAAGAGCACACACAGGCTGGCTGGCTTTAGCTTGGTTGTTTCACACAGGAGCTCTTTATTCAGCACCTCTGTGGAAAGTTGCTTTAAATATACTGGATTTCTCAGTATATTTATATCTTGCATTCTTCCTTTGGAAGAAACTTTCCCTGTGATCCAACTCCCCATCATTTACCAGATTCATAAGAAAAGCCCATCACCAGCAATCACCGAGGTAAAAATACCCATGTTTGGATTTTCATTCTCAGCACCAGCAGCTCGAACCCTGCAGTCTCTGCTAACACAGCAGTGCTTTTTTGGACCAGACTTGCACATACATTATCTCTTGTGCACCTTCTAAAGTTCATGTCTTGGTCAAATTTCCCCCTGGCCTTTACCTATCAAGGCTTCCTAATAATCCCCATTTATAAACTGTCTTCATCACTCTGATGTGTGGTGAGCATACCGGTCCATTCTGGCTGCCATCGCATCATCCACATTGGTGGTGGTGGAGGGGAGTCCCCATTATCTGTAAAGCTCTTTGAGTGGAGTGTCCAGAAAGGCAAAACAAGTGTAAGGAATTATTGTTATTATTATTTTTTTTTATTATTATTAAGGTTTGGTTAAAGACTCTTGCACATCAGGAACATTTTCTATACCGCGTTTCCAGTGGTGTGACTGACAGGTGTTAGGAATACATTCTTATTCGGAAACCCCACTCCAGAATCACTCTGGTCACAGAACGGACCAGGTAAGCCCATTTTACTGTTCACACTTATAACACACGAGGAATGTCGGAGGTAGAACCAGAGACTCCCACCAAAGAACAGTCTGATCCACACCGGAGTCAACAAGCGAGCCAAGATCTCTCTGTGACGCAGAAAAAAAGTGACCTCTCGCACATTAACCCCACAGGCTGGCAAACCCTGGCATAGATCAAACTGAGCTGCAGCTGATCTCTCACCCAGATCTCCTATACGTTAGTATGACTGCCCAGCCTGACAGCTCGGCACGGGAATTCGACATCTGGGGCAGCTTTACATTGGGGCTGCTGCAGGTAGTGTATCAAGATTCACATGTGTTTCCTATTTCAGAAGAAAGCCTTGATGAGCCTACAGATAAGGCAAAAGGGCTTTGCTACAGGTCATCGGTTTAGCCATCATGACAATTTCTGCCATCATGACAATAACAACCGGTGGTCTTGCACAGTGCTGATCAGCCCGCGAAGCCAGCGGCTCTGCTCTGCACAGGCCGACCGACGGCGGCACCTGGCTCCGGCATCAACAGCCCCCGCGGGGCCGCCGATCAGTCCAGCTGCAGGAGCAGGGCCTCGCGCATGTGGATGCGCATGTGGAACTTCAGCCCCCCGCAGTTGCGGAAGGCCTTGCCGCAGTGCAGGCAGGGGTAGGGCTTCTCCCCCGTGTGGATGCGGAAGTGGCGCTTGAGCGCCCCCGAGTGGCGGAAGCGCACGCCGCACTCGGAGCAGCAGTAGGGCCTCTCGCCGGTGTGGATGCGCTGGTGGGTCTTCAGGTTCTCCAGCCGGTTGAAGTCCTTGCCGCACTGCTGGCAGCGGTACGGGCCGCGCTCGCCGGCGTGGGCGCGCCGGTGCCTGCGCAGCTCGCCCGGCAGCTGGAATTGCTCGCCGCAGGTCTTGCAGGGGTAGCTGCCCTCCTTCCCGGGCTGGAGCGAGGCGCCACCGCCACCACCGCCGCCGCCACTGGAAGATCCGGCCCAGGGCTCTCCGGAGAGGTCTGGATGACCAGGGGGATGAAGGGTGGGCAAGGATGCCCCGATGGAGCCGGACGCAGGGAGGGCGCTGGGATCGGGCACCCGGCCTTCTTCCTGTGCGCCCTGCAGGGTCTCCAGGGGCATGGGCTCAGGAGTCTGGGAGAAGGCGTGAGGGTCTTCGCCAACTGTTTCGGAAGAAGGAAAAGATCCAGTCAGGTTTTTACTGCGATTTCAGATGCAGAGTCTAAAAAACATTCACCTTCTTATACAAATTCAAGGTGGAATATTATATTCCCCAATGCTGCCTATTTGTTTAATTATGTTACAAGTTCCACCAATACAAGCACTAAGTAAAAAAGTATTAAGAGAAGACTTCAGTGTTTTTCTGCTGGTCCCTAGTTTTTTTAAAGAAAGAGTGCGGCTTAGTATTGCACAATAAAATAACCCCTTCTCACACAACGCCCTGTTAAAAAAATAACCCAAATAAAAGTTAACATACACAACTGAGTTATCGCTGTTACTGTACCTGCTGCACCGCTACATGTTCACATATATTCATAGATAACATTGAAAAAATCTTCCAACAGCACATATAATGTATATTAATAGTGTAATGAACTCCATCTGCACCTTACATATACCTAAGCACTGTGCCTGTTCTCCAACAACAACATCAACATCACTTTACTGCCCATATACAATTTCTTGCATTAGGAATTCATCTTGTCGCATACCCCAACTTGCTCTCCGTGGATGACAGACACACAGACAGGGAGAGAAGCTTGGGGTCAGAGCGCAGGGTCTGCCATTGTACAGTGCCTCTGGAGCAGTTGGGGTTAAAGGCCTTGCTCAGGGGCCCAACTAATGATTCCTCTGCCGGCTGCGGGATTTGAACCGGCAACCTTCCAGCCACAGGCCCAGATCCTTAACCACAGAGCCACCGCTCCGCCATAAGAAACACAAGCGGCTATTCATGCCGTGTCTCAGTAGCAGAGCGAGCAGGAATGTCCAGAGCTGATCTCCGAGAAGGACGAGGCCCTGCTCTGCTCTCTGGACGACTCATCGCAACAAACTTGTTTCAGCACAACGCTGAGCTGAGCAGCGACTTCTTGCATCTCTGTGCATGTATCAAGGAAGACAAAACGCAAACAGATTTCGAATTAGAGAAGGTTTTGCTCTGCTTTAGGATGATCTAGACGGGGCTCCTAGAGATGGGGGAAGTGCCGCCTCACTGATAAAAGAAAGAAACTTCCGTGAACATGATAACAGTCATAAACAAGAGGAGGCCATTCAGCCCACCGGGGCCGTTTGATTGATCCAGGGTTCTCACCAGCCGTTACTGGAAAGAAACCTAGAGATCAGCTTTAAAAACATCGCTGGTCAGCTTGTTCCAGGCTCCTGCAACTCTTTGTGTAAAGACATGCCTCTTGTTCTCCACTTTAAATGAACCTGCAATGAATTTCAGAAAGAAAATAAAAGAGTATAGTCCTTTTTGGGGAAACGGATAATGTCAAAGGAGCAAAAGGATAAGTATGCTTAAAAACACAGGTGCGAGAACAGAACTCTTTGGGCTTTTTTTTCCCCAAAACGCTGACGTGTGTTGCTGCTGCACTCTGCTACCTGAGCCTGGGAACTTACAGAATCCCACAGGAAGAAACACTGGGGAAAGCCCAATGCCCGCAAAGACATTTTCCCAGCCTTTTGCACCAGAGCACCAGGGCACCAGGGGAACTGAAAGAAACTCGTTCCCACTTTCTACCGGATCTTGGCCGTTACTCACACAGCGGGCGGCCCGAGGAAGGACCGAATCCGTCGGCGTCGCGGCCCGGCAGGGGCAGGGGCAGGGGCTCCGGTCTCCACTCCTCCAGCAGCCGGGACTGCAGGCGCGCCAGCTCCTCGGCGACGGGCTCCGGGTCCGAGCCCTCCTCCTTGACGATCACGTACTCCACGTCGGAGACGTCGTCGAGCTCCTCCCGGCCCGGGGGGCTCCGTCCGCTCGCATCCTGTCCGTCGGCGGGCTCCGCCGGCGAGTCCGGGATGATGGAGATCTCGTCCGCGCCTTCTAGGGAGCACAGGATCAAGAAGCATGCGTCAGGCACACAGGACCACCGTGCAAAAGTTTGCATATACACACGGCACACACAGACACAGGCACACTCAATGAATCATTGCTCAGACGAATGAAATCCAGAAGACACAATTGTTCCCGGATCGGGGCTAGAAACTGATCTCTAAGCCATAACGAACCTGCCGCAGCCGATTCTCCAGGCTGTCTCCCGTGCGCGTCTTCCCCACAGGTGCCATCGCCTTCGGGGGAGCCGGCTCGGCCATCGTCGCCACCTTCAGACAGATCGGCAACCGCGGGTCTCTGGCAGCGGGATGGAGGAGGAGGCTCGTCCGGGGCCAACAGGTCGTTTCGGTCCTCGTCTGCGATCGCCTCGCCGGCTCGCTTTCTCTGCGCCCCGGACTTGCGCGGGTTGACCCTTGGGCGCCGCTGACTTCCCAGCGAGGCCCGGGTCAGTTTGAGCTCCCGCTCGGAGATTTCCAGCCTCAGCTTGAGGGACTGGTTCTCCTGCAGGGTTTCGTCCATCTGGTCCCGGACGTCCCCGAGCACGGTGCCCACCAGCTTGGTGATCTCGAAGACGGCTATTTCCACGGCCACCTTGAAGGCGTTCTCGATGGTGGCGGCCAGTTCGTCCTGCAGGGCATGCGAGACGCCTACGGCCGTTTTTTGGGGTGTATTGGGGACCGGCTTCATGTCTTTTCCGATCGATTCCAGCGAAGCTGCCTTTCACAAGAAGAGTCGTCTCATGCAGCGGCCACGTATCGGCATTCACACGCGCGATCCGTTTGAAAATGTATCTCCTTTACTTACAGCTCCTACAAATGGAGAGAACGGGTTTTAATCGGAAATGACCCGAGAATCGAGTACAAATTCGATCCAGTGAAAATAAAACTATTACAAAAGCCGACCAAATCGGTCGGGTTAACAAGTTTAACTCCGAGAAACACCAAGACTGATAAAAATAACCCGTCAGGGTTCCGTTACATGCTTGGTGAGAACGACGTGAGCAACCCTGATTAATACACTTGTTAAAATATATAAAATAGAGATTTTTTTTTCCTTTTAAAACTCTAGGTATTTGATTTGTGGGACAGAAGAAACGAATCGCTTGTTTTTCAAAACACTCGGGGATGGCTCTCTAACTTCCTGTTTCCTCTTTATAGATTGAATTGGCCGACTGGTTCACTTTCTCAGAGTTCATCACACCCGAAAGCCCGAAATGTACTGTGCAGAAAATAACCATGAGCTGGGATAAAATGTACAAGATAACTCAAATATGCAATGTTTGATTCTAATTTTAGTTGATTTCAAATGAAACAAATTCAAAGTTGCGTCGATTGCTAATTTATGTTCTTACTGTAAATTTAGATGTGACAGGAAAATTTCTCATGCCTTCCTGAAGGTGTGTGTTTCTAAATGAGCTAATATCACAGGGAATTTTGAAACGTTTCTTTTAATTCCATACCTAGAAAGCTTAGAATCAACCTTAAATCGTGGGAAAAAAACATTGAAACACCAACTTCATCCTCTTTAAGATACGTGCAACTTTATCGGAGAGTGACTCATGGTTGGCCATAAACCAAATCAGCCAGCCAATCGGGGTGGGCTGGACAAAACGTCATAGGCAGGCAGTTTTCAAAAGTGATTGGTCAGCGTTTGAAGACCAACCTATCAACATCCAGAGTTGCGTGAACATTATCTGTAAAAACCGTCTGAGTGGACTGGTGTCTTAACCGGTTAAATCCCAAAACGACTTCGTTCTAATGAATGCACAGGATAAATTGTTAATGCCGAATTGCACGTTTTGGCATCTGTTTCTGACTTTATTTCTTGTTTGTTGTTTAGCGTCCATTGGGCAGCTGGTGTGCATTAGGCGTCGAGACGATGCTGAGATGAAGCGAGACAGTCCGGCTTTAAAAAAACATCGCCAGTGGTGACAAGATGTAAAAACATTGAATTAAATTTGGTTCCCTAGACACATATGCATAATGGTCTACGAGTCAGTAGAGGATGTATCAATAGTACAAATTGATGTAACATATTATCTCATGTTGTGCAGTTTTTATTAAGTATTTACGAATGTGAGAGGATTGCACAGTGGTGAAGGGGGTTAGCATCGCTGCCTTGCAGTGCTGGGGCCCTGGGTTCAATTCTGGACCTGGGGTGCTGTCTGTGTGGAGTTTGCATGTTTTCCCCGTGTGCATGTGGAGTTCAGTTCAGTTTATTGTCCTATGCAGAAGTGCAATGAAATGCTTATTTGCATGTATGCTCCAATACAAAGACATTGAAGGAATCACCAAAAATAGAGACACAGAACAGCAGCAATAACAACAAAAAGTTAAATAACACACAACTTTAAAAAAAAAATCCTCCTTGGTGCTACACTTTCCTCTCACAGTCCAGACATGCCAATGAGTTAATTGGCTTCTGGGAAAATTGGCCCTAGGTTGGAGCGCATACGTTTGTGTCCGTGTGCCCTGTGATGGACTGGTGTCCCTTCCGGGGTGTACCCTGCCTTTCTCTCATTGCTTACCAGGATAGACTCCAGCTCCCCCCTTTCAAAGTCTGAAAATGGATGAGTGGTGGTGTGTTATATAGCCTGGTTCAACTAAAACATGACCACAACACTTAACACTTAATACTTAACTTTTTAACCAGGGAAAGGTCTGGTATTTTGGTTTAAAGCACCCTCCAGATACACTGTGGCAAGCCCCTTGGCTGTCTATAGAATTGGTATATTCCTCCTCTCTTACACTTACATGGGTGGGATAATTAAAAGATCAGTGAGCAACACGCTTAGCTATTGTGAGAGCAGCCATCACCTGCTGGGGTCTAAATGTCATCAGCCACAGCCTTGTCGATCTTAATTAATTTGTTTTTAATTAGCATGACTAGTTCACTGCTTTCGTTTTGGGCTGACGAGTTCCCGACCTTAAAGGAGCTTTCTTATTAGCGTAACTTCACCAGACAGCCTGTTAGACACTCTCCCCCAGTTTATTCGGCTCACTTTTTTGGGGGGCGCTAACATTCCAGTGGAGAAATAAAACTGCTTCCAAAAAAACTTTGCAAGCTGAATAGATGTGACAAGATAACGGAAGGAACCCACCCCTGTTGCTGGACCAATCCAGCTCCCACCCCCGGCCCCCGAACGAGTGGAATTTTCCCATGAGCACTGGGTAAGATAATATAAGATTAGCCATATACAATTTCTTGCATTAGGAATTTGTCTTTTCACATACCCCAGCTTGCTCTCCATGAGAGATACAGACAGGGAGAGAGAAGCTTGGGGTCAGAGAGCAGGGTCAGCCATTTATACGGCACCCCTGGAGCAGTTGGGGTTCAGGTCCTTGCTCGGGGACCCAACGGAGTAGGATTCCTCTGCCGGCCATGGAATTTGAACCGGCAACCTTCCAGCCACAGGCGCTGATCTTAAGCCACAGTGCCACCGTGTGTAGATACAACATTCTGCTTGAGCATCTGAATCAGGCCCTACAAGGGGCATAAGACGAAGTTACCATGCCTTTGCGTCCATTTGCAGACTTGTAGTTTCTACATTCTCAGAGAACATACTGCATTTTTAAATGAAATAAATGGTCCAGGAGGTCCTTATCAAGTCCCAAAACGTCAGTTTCACCTGGTTGGCAATGCATGTGGTTCTGAAATCCTGCAGTTTTCTGTATAATAATAATAATAAAGCCAGCAGTTTGCCTGTCCATCCCAATCAAGCACTGGCTATCCTGACCCAGGACCAGCCTGCAGCTCCGGGACAAGCAGGATAGTGGGTACACAGGGGGGGGTGCCCTCTGCCGCCATCCCTTGAGCCAGTCAGCCCAGCCTGCCCCCAGCCCCAGCCCCAAATCAGGGCTTCCAGCAGCACAAGGTAGGACGTTGACGATGATGATGATGTTAATAACAATATTGATAATAAAGTAGTTCAGGTGGGGAGCTGCGTCAGCACACGTAGTCTGCAAAGGAACAAGTAACAGGTTTATTCCATGCTGAAAAGAGAAGAGAGAAAACACAACGTTTCGGTTCACATTCACACCTGAAGAAGGCTTCACAGCTGAAACGTTGTGTTTGCTATTACTATTACTTGTAAAACCTATTAGCCCAATTTCCTTTGCATAATAATAATACACTTTATTTATACAGCACCTTTGAAAGTAGATTCTCAAACAGTTTGACAATAGGAAAAGAACAATATGAGGAGATAACAGTG